GACATCAGGTTGAATACCTTGGACTGCGAGAAAACATACGAGTGAGACGAGCTGGATTCGCGTACCGTAGGGTCTTCAACAAGTTTCTGATGAGGTGAGTTTCGTCCTGGGCATGTTTAAGAAAGGGTTCATCATTTTCAATGTGTTTGTTATGAAAGACGGAACCATGGTGTGTTTGTGCTCTATCCAGGTATGCCATTCTGACAGCGGAGACATGGCCGGGCTGGAGGGGTCCAGAGCAGCAGGGGGTCCTTCACCTCCTCCGCTCTGTCAACATGGACAATGACCAGTATCAGATGGGACGCTCCAAAATCTTCGTCAAGAACCCTGAATCGGTAACAAACTTTTTATATTTTATTCTTGGTCTCACAACTTTGAGGTACGGGTTAGGATCACTTGGGTAGTTTCATTTCATGAGTGTACTTTTGTATTGTAGTTTCTTGCTGTGTAACATTTATCTGACTTATAGCAGACTAATAAATTATGAAAAAATGTTTTAGATGAGGCTCCTTAAGATCCTACAGTTGAATTTAGTTGATATCAAACTTGAGTAAAATGCTACTTAAACATTAATCCACAACACAAATCCATAAAAGTGCCAGAAACAGAAGGTGAAATATGACTGAAACGAAATATATATATTTAAATATATTCTTGAAAACATGCTCTGTGTTCCTCAGCTGTTTCTTCTGGAGGAGATGAGGGAGAGGAAGTTTGACACGTTCGCTAGGATCATCCAGAAAGCCTGGAGACGGTACATCGCCAGGAAGAAGTATGAACAAATGAGAGAGGAGGGTGAGTAAAAGACAAACACTCCTCATACTGTCTCCACCTAATGCAAGTTTCAAGTCCCCGCTCTGAATATACTGTGTGTTCCCCCCTGCGACTCTCAGCCTCGGACATCTTGTACAACTCCAAGGAGCGGAGGAAGAACAGCATCAACAGGAACTTCGTCGGCGACTACCTCGGCCTGGAGCAGAGGCCCGAGTTGCGACAGTTTCTGTCCAAGAGGGAGCGCGTCGACTTCGCTGATTCAGTCAATAAGTTTGATCGCAGGTTCAAGGTGAAGCTTTGCTGAGCACGTGTGTTATTATCCTTCAAAGAATGAAGGAAAAGAGATTAGAGATGTTATATATAACACATGCTCTTTACAGAAAGGCCACACACAGTTCTCACTTCTGTTTTTTATTTTCTTTCACAACCCAGTCCATCAAGAGAGATTTGATCTTGACCCCGAAGGGCATCTATCTGATTGGTCGAGAGAAGGTGAAGAAAGGGCCCGAGAAGGGACAGATAAGGGAGGTGCTGAAACGAAAGCTGGAGTTTGGAAGCATCAATGGCGTCTCTCTCAGGTAGAGCTGTCATTTGCAGAAGATAAACCGATAAAGAGATGGAGGACAAACTTCCCAGTCCTCCGTCTGTGCAAGAGCAGTTACCCACATTTAGCTCTCAATGGTCTTGTTTTTCTTTTCAGTACGAGACAGGATGATTTCTTCATCCTGCACGAGTCTCAGTACGACAGCCTGCTGGAGTCCAACTTCAAGACAGAGTTCCTCAGCCTGCTCTCCAAACGCTACGAGGACGTGGCCGGGAGAAAACTGACCATCTCCTTCACTGACAGGTAGAGGAACACATACACACTCAGACCACCTGCATTTTGCATAGAAAATCAGAAAATCAGAAAAACAGAAAAACAGAAACCACTGACATTCTTTCCTCACGACTCAGACTGGAGTTCAGGGTGAAGAAGGAGGGCTGGGGTGGAGGAGGCTCCAGGATGGTCATCTTCCAGAGGGGGCAAGGAGACCTGGCCCAGCTCAAACCTGGAGGGAAGGTCCTCACCATCACAGTGGGAGATGGACTACCCAAGTCCTCCAGTGAGTTAAAACAAAATAATGATGCAGAATATTGAAATAAGGATAGCCGAGGTAAAGTTAAGTAATACTTAAGTTACTGAATATAAAAATGACTCTTGTATATCCAGATATTGTTATAACTGAACATTCATTTCATCAGAGCCGACCAGGAAGAGTGTCCCACAGTCTCATGGTGGAGGGAGAAATCATATATCCAGCAGAGGTATTTATTTCTATCATTATATACAGATGCTGGAAGATAGCGAAGTACATGTACTCAAGTATTATATTTAAATGCAGTTTAAAGTTATTTTATAAGTTCTAGTATGTGTGGACTTCAGCCTTCAACTCAACTTTAACATTAAAACTAAAGCAAAGAGGATATAAAGCAGTAAAAACATGCCTGTATAATATATAACAATCACTTTTATAATATATAACTTTTTTTTCACTTTTATCACTTTTTATCATCAATATAATTGTGATTGGAGTAACTCTCAGTGAATTATGAGTACTTTTAACTTTAGAGCTGGATGTTTATGGAAATATCTGAGCAGCTCTGTTTTCATTCAGCAGTAGTTGTACTTGGATCTTGTGCTTTAGTTTGAGGGGGTTTCATTTTACTGTGACTCCACTCTTCCTCTCCTCAGCTCACCAGAATGGAGCAGCCAAGTTTTCCAGAGCTCCTCAGCCCCAACCTTCAGAAATGACATATTCGACCTCGCACAAACAAGGCCGGCCACCTAGCAACGCTCTGCCCAAACTGGGTTCTCAGCGGGCCCCCAGGGTCCCAACCCACAACCAGCACAGCCAAGGCAACATGGACTTCCTGAATGTGCCTGACCAGGGCATGTCAGGGTGAGCGAGATCACTAAAAACTAAAGAAACTATGACTGCGTTATGTGTGGGTGGACTTGTTTAGTCACTTTAAATACACGCATACAGGTTTGTTGTGTCCTCAAGGTTTGTCAAGGTGGGGCCCAAACAAAACCAAATGTTGAGACAGGAAAGATAAACCTGTTTATTTCCACACGTGCTGTAGAAAATAAAGCATTTAAACAGCTTAGGTATGCACCCAAACATAAAACTTTTAAAAGTAAAATTATATAACAATATATTGTGATTTGTAGCATTTCTCTCTCTTTGTGAGTTCCTGTCATCTCCTCCTTCTTTCATCCCTTTTGTCCTTTCTTTCTCTTTGTCACAGGAAGCAGAGGAGAAGGAGCATCAATCAGCGACCTCCTCCTGCTCCTAAACATCAGCCTCGACCTAAGGGGCCTCGCTGCCGGGCGCTGTATCAGTATGTCGGCCAGGACACGGATGAGATCAGCTTCGAGGTCAACGACGTCTTCGACCTGGTCAAAGAAGGTGTGAGGATGAGAAGAAAGATACCACCTTAACAGAGATCAGATATAATCAGATTTCAAATGTTCCACAGTGTCTGACAAAGTGTGTTTCTCTGCAGATCCAACAGGATGGTGGACGGGCAGGATTAACGGAAGAGAAGGCCTCTTTCCTGGCAATTATGTAGAAAAGATTTGATTCAGACTTCATATCTTCCTCATAGGCTTTTCTAAATTTGTTGAGAAATATGTGTAATTTGATGAAAGCAACACATTCTGCTTGAGAAGGAAACTGCCAGTGAATAGTTCATGGTTGTAGATCTTCATCCATGACGAAGTACAGGGCTGCTGAAGAGCAGACCCTTCTGACATTTCAACAAGAAGAGGAAACATCATCATTATGACCATGATCCTTAAAATGCACATCCAGTGCAAAGAGCTGCTCAGGTTTCATGTCTCTGGTTGCCCCGATGACACAATGACTATAGCAAAAAGATCTCTGACTTTGCCCACACTTCACCAACAGCTTCCTTTGGGCTGTTACTCCACTGAAAACGTCTCAAAGCTTCAGTTACAGACTCGAGAGAAAGTGACCTGAAAATGCTGCATTGCTTTTATTGTCTACAGTGTTTGTATCTGCCTGAAGCTTTTCTAGAGCAACGCCAGATCCTGATCAGTATTATAGATTAAATCGACAGCACAATATTAAGTAGTCATCGGTTCTGTATTAGATAATATGTTAATTTTGTGAACTTGACTGTACATTTGCACCATAATGAACTTGTTTCAGATGAATCAAAGCCATTCCTAGACACAATACTGCTGATGTCACTGAAAAAGAACTTCTCGATTTTCTGCTCATTCATTATTAATAGTATAATACATTTCCATTAGTTTTCACTTCAATATCATAAAGAAATATATTTTCGTATTTTACCTCAATGACTTTTTCACTGGTCCAGATTGTGTCATCAGTAAGTTATTAGACAATAAGTGAGAAGTGACTGAAAATGTATTAAGCATTTATCAATTACTAACAAGTGTTTGTTTCTGCCAGTTTTGCATTTTGTTTGAGTGTGGTTGATTTTTGTAAAATGATGTGATGCCCTCATAGTCAATAAATATCGTTTTTTTGAATTTAATTAATTCTAAACCAATTTTGTATGTGTTTATAACCCCAACACTTTTATTTTATATTATTTAACATAATAAATAAAAAAAAGCCATTTTTTCTGTTCCTCAGCTTGAATTAAGCATCTAATATGACAATGTTAGTGTGGAATGTGGATAAATTGACATTTAAAACTTTTATTTTTTAGTACTTTACTTTGGTACATTTCATCATACACATGCCCTTTGCCCTCTGAGAATGATCCTGCTTTTATTTTGAAAAGTAGCTGGGTGTCGTTGGCCTGCAGCGGAGGCAGATGGACAGGATGAGGGATAAAGGAGGAGGGATGAGGATTATACAGACGAGCACAGCCGTGACCGGTGCTGTTTTATCAGTCTGTACACAGCTCTATAATAATTTCTGACATTTTAAATATCTGTCAAATTCTAATAACAGCTCATAAAGTATTAATCTTGTCATATTTAATATTAATATTTAAATCAAAGATGCCAATTCCTCCAAAGTGAAACATGTTACCAGTGAAGACCCAGTGGAAAAAAACAATCAATCAGTCCATTCCAGACATTTTCCCTCGATGACAAAGGATCAGGAGGGAGCGGTGCGAGGCTCCACCCAGAGAGAAGCACCTGTTACTCCACCTGCAGCAGAGCAACACTGACAGACCTGAGGCCGAGGCAGCAGCAGCAACATGGGGGGTAAGATCCATTCACCTCTTTTGGATTCAGACTTTTTATATTGAGAGATAATTCAACTTTTATGGACCAGAAAAGGTGTTAAACTACCAACATCTGTATTTATGTATCAAAAACCTACAAAACCTTTTGTACAAAAACATTTAAAAAGCTTTAATTAATGACTTCATTGGCTGTTAATGAATTATAAATCCACTTTTAGGAATCATTGTAATTTCATGCTAATCAGGTTTTGGGAAATCCTTAGACAGCATTACTTGTCTTTTCGAGCTTGTTCTTTATAGTATGAGAGGATAAAATGAAATTTGAATAAAGGAGGACTAGAGATCAAGAGGGAGAAGAAACTGATTTGCATAAACCAAATTACACCCCCCCAACAGGCTTCTACTCCAGTGAAAGGATGGCAGGAGTCTTCTCCTACGAGAGTTCAGAAATCGACTGGTGTGAAGACAACTACAGACACTCTGAACACGTGGTGGAATATTTCAACACTGTACGTTCTATATACTGCAGCGTTTATGTCAAAACAAAGATTTATGTTTTCAGATTCATCTAATAAATACATATTCCCATAAAAACTGATCCCTAACTCCCAGTTATATATATATATATATATATATATATATAAATGATTGTTGGTTCCCCTACAGATGAGCAGCTTTTTTTTCTTCATCATATCTCCTGTCATGCTCTACCTCCTTCATCCTTACGCCAAAGAGAGAAGCCTGTCAATCCACATGGTTTGGATCATGATGATTTTTGTGGGTCAGTTGCTCTTTTCTTTTCTTGTGTATTTCATGTAGATTTGTATCTGTTTTACTGTTTTACATACATGGAGCCGATTATTCACAGACTCACTGAGTCACAGAGCCTGTTAAACATGAACAGTTGACTTGTTGGTTCAGTTATGATTTGACATGACTTGCCAAATAGACAGGTGCAGTTGTCGCAGATGAAGTAGTAGAATGATTTTATTTCTTTAAAATACAACATCAGCAATATAATGTAATATAAAAAACTGAACTTTTATGGTTCAGAGCTGTGGTTCCCAACATTTTGGGTGTTAGTTTGTTAAATGATTGATATATAATCCAGCGTAAACAAATCTGCAGTTGTACTGATTATTGATTAATCGTTTAAGAGCATTTTTTAAGTTGATAACTTTTTATTGACTAAACCGTTCAATAATCAATACATTAATAGACAGTGAAAATAACTTGCAGTGCTACTTAAGAACTCTTGTCACCTGCGGCAAACATTCACCAGTTGTTTCATCAACTGTTTTATGTGAATGTGTTTTTTTCAATACACGGGTTAAAACCTTCAGTTTTGAAATTAAATTCTTGTGTGTTTGTTTCTGTATAAAATGTTTATTTTCTACACATTAAGACTTTTTCTTCTTGCAGGACTCTTCTCAGCGTACTTCCACATGACTCTGAGTTTCGTTGGCCAGATGTTAGATGAGCTGTCAATCCTGTGGGTGTTGGCAGCGGGATACGCAATCTGGTTTCCCCGCAGGCTGTTTCCTTCTTTTATAAAAGACAGGTAAGATAACCTTGTAAAAATCAACACAACAACAGACAGCGGATTTACTTTTGTAAGTTTGTTTATGTTTTTATTCGGCAAATTGTAAAATATACCCCACATCTCCATGTGTTACTAAGGACTCAAACACCGCTCACTAATCCTTTAATAAGACAAGTTGAAAAGAACAATGAGATAGCGTTTAAAAGGGACTCTACTCTGAAACCCTACCTGTGCTGGCTGAGGAACCAGCCCAACAGCCCCAATGAAAGTCATTGTCACAAACATACAATATGGTGCCGCTGCCATCACCTGAATGTGACAGGTAGCAGCTCTCACTATTGTAAGAAGATGAAACACCACCCATCTCGTGTAAATATTTAACCACAAGGTGGGGAAAAGATGAATAAAACTTTAATGAACACCTGAAAATAATCCCATAAACCCTCCTCTCAATGAACTCATGTTAAATTTTCCATTTTTGCAAAGTAATGCATTGGTTGTTTGAAATGAACGTTAAGATCTCTTTAAACAGGGAGCAAATTTGTTGCTCTTTATTATCTTCCAAAGAAATCCTGCTCCAGTTTGTTGAATGATCATGAGCATGAAAGATTGAGGCTACAGAAACTAACTGAAATTTCTGGAGGGGCAGTGTGTAAAAATGCAAATTTCTGAGTAAGTTGCTCCAGAACTTGTAGATTCTGCTGGTATCCACAAACTTCCTTCTCTTTGTCTTTTCCACCACAGGTCCACATTTTCACGTCTCATCCTGTTGGTTACTGTCGTCACCTCTGTGTCATCATTCGTCAAACCTACAGCCAACGCCTACGCTTTAAACTGTTTTGGCCTCCACCTGCTTTACACTCTGGCAGTCGAGATGAGATGGTATGAAAACTGTGGCCTCTCGTGCTCCTGTGAATGTGTTTGGTGCAGTTTCACTGTATTTAAAAATGAACTCTTTTCTTTGTGTCTCAGCTGCACTGACCAGAAGGTTCTGCGACTGGCCAAGATGTCTGTGGCTCTGTGGATACTTGCCATCTCCTGCTGGATTAGCGATCGCTTTGGCTGCAGCTTCTGGCAGCAGCTTAACTTCTGCTACCTGCACGGTATCTGGTGAGTGTTTAGATGTGTCCCTCTCTTTTCCTAACACAACACACCCGTGAGCAATGTTCCTTATCAAGATGATGAGGAAATGTTTTTACACATAGGTTTTTGTGGACAGGGTTATTTCTTTCTAAGGCTTACGTTCTGTATATTGATCTTTATTCTCTGTATCCTCCAGGCACATTCTCATTGTGATGTCGGTGGCTTATGGCAGCACCCTGATAGCTTACCTGGATGCACACTATGAGATACCGTACTCACTGCCTGGATTGGAGTTCTGGCCCTGTGATGAATGGTCTGTTGGATTACCTCACATTGTCCTGAAAGGCACAACCAAAACACATAAACGGTGCTAACAAAGTCGTTTTTTAACATCAGAACATTTCAATTGGTACTCTCCATTAGTACAGTATTTCATTAATGACAAGTCAAGACAGGTTTTTAACCCTAACGACACAATCTGTGAATCAACGGCTTGTCCCCGCTATCCCAGGATTGAAAATGCAGGAATCTAAATTTACTGATGTATTGACTGATTTGTCTTTCAATACACAGATCAACTACAACAAAATGTAAGTTATGCTACTTTTCTGATCCTTTCAGAAGATTGTTGACACCATAGATGGGTTGCCAGATCTATGGTGTCATGTTAGTTCATGTACACAAAATAATTAGTTGTCATAGGACTGAGCGATATGGCAAAAAATGATATACAGATAAAAATGTTAATTTACGTCATTATCGATAATAATCACCATTGAGTCACCATTGAGTCACATACATTTTTAAAGACTGATTTTTGCTCCTGAGTGGAGGTTGTGTTTTAAAACTCTTATGAGAAGAGAATGACAACTACTTGAAGATTTTCAAATCTGAGAGAGAGCATTCAAACCGATTTAGGCTCTTCCTGTGGTTGCACAATGCATATGCATAATTTATATATTGAATTATATTGCAGTGATTATATTTATTATTTTATTGCCCTTCCCCTAATTTATCATCCACAGATCTAACTTAAACTATATACTTGAATAAACGCATATGGTTAAAAAGTATTACATTAAATTGTAGATTCATATTTCTGACACACAAGCAAATTAGCCTTCAGTGTTGTTGATGAACATGAATGGTTTCATAAAATGCCTGTATACATCCCTTTTTGAAGATTTCGTCTCTGACAGTTAAACATGTGTTCTTGTATCTATAAATCAATCCATTCTGATTATTTATTCTCTAGATATCAATGCACAACTGGTCATGCTCATGACAGATTCTATTTTTATGTATTGTACATGATTCATTATGATGAAACTTTGCTGTCATCCTTCAGTGCCCAAGTTTGTTGGAGTGAGGTTCTTCGGTGAAATGTGTTTATATGGACCTTTATAAAACCTTGACATGTAATTGTTTTATAATCATACAACCTGTCCTCTGGGTTTGAACTGTAACCTGAACTAACCTTTGTCTGGTTTGGTCCTAAACGTAGAGCTGTCTGCATAGTTACATGTTGGAATGCTGTAGTTTCACACTGATTTAAAGAGAGGACTCTTGTAACATTTCAGCAATGCACATTTGTCAATATCAAATAATTTATTCATCTCTTTCTCTGTAAAAATTGTACAATCTCATTCAGGACCTGTGAAATATGATTCTAGGGTGTATTTGTGTGACTGACCGTTCCACAACAGTCACGTTTCTTTTGTACCACTGACCCTAATTCACTAAAATGACCTTTTTGTTGAATAAATTTGTGGTGTTTTGAGAATATTCAGGTACACTGTGCCTCCATTCACATGATCCTTCCTGAAGGACACAATACATACAACAATAGATCCACTACACAAAGAAATGCACTCGCTCCCTTCCCTGAGCTTCAGTGTTCAACAGTGACCTCCTGTGGTTGAGGATATGTTGAACAGCAACCAATGCTTTGCCTCTAGAAAGATGATGTATTTCAAGACAGATAACTGATGATCCGAATGAGTGAGAAGACTAAACATTAATCATCTGTAATTTTCCAGTGCCCTGTCGTAGTTTTACAGAAAACTGATTTCTTTCTTTCTGATATTCATGCCCCTGTAATGATGAATCTATACACATTTTTGATTCCCTGATTTTTCCTCTTGCGCCGCAACGAAATTGATGTTTGTGAAAAACTCATGTCTATTTTAAGGCTTTAACAACAAGAAAAAAAACATCGAAAAGGTGGAGAACTCATTTACTATTTATTCATCCAGAGAAATGTAAAAATATTTGTTCGGGTTTGGTAAAAAGCTGGATTTGTTGGCAGGTTTAAACATTTACGATGAGTTATGATGAAGTTCTCCGTATGAAATCTGAGGTGCATGTCTTCAATGTGTGCCATCATGTATAAATATTCGACTAGATCATTAGATTTTTGGTGGTATGATAATTCAATCAGTGACAATGTGTCATATTATATGAACTAATCCTATTTTTTTTGGCAAATTATTCCTAAATATACATTTTTTATGGTAAAATGTTATGTTTCATCGTATCAGCATGTCAGTTAAACTGCTATAAACTGTAACATTTCAATACATATAGATAAATACACAGAACAGGAGATTTTCAGATTCTTCACTTTAATGTAATTACCTATTTTTGACCACTTGAAGGCAGTGGAAACAAGTTGTGAACATGTCATCAGTCTTAAAGCAACAATCTGCAACTTTTACTGGGCAACAGCGCCCCCTGGAGCCACACTTGGTGATTAATTCCTTTTGGGCGTAAGGGGATCAAGTGGTTTTCATATTAAAAAAACACATACTGTGAAGTCCCACTCACTGTTTTATTTTATTTTTTATGAGTGACGAGCATGTTTGGACATACAGTCTATGGTTTGGACATAGTTTATGTATTTTGTTATTAGGTTAAATGATATGATAAATGATAAATGATTAGGTAAAGATAACATCTCCTGAACATTCTCAATCGTTTTACATCTTTATAAATCAGACGTTTGTTGCTGATCATAATAAACTTGTATGTTTTGTGCGTGAAACCTATGGGACATGCCTTTGTTTTGTTTATATGTCTCTATCCACAGATTGAAAAGGAGGATTTAAAGGCTGACATCTCTTTTCAAGTGGGACATCATCGTGTCTGACAGCCAGGTGGAACCTTTCACTCAGATTTGACTAAGAGGGAGACTGGATCAATCTTGGGAGGCACCAAAGCCAGTGAGAGAGCAGTGACCTTGTGTCCCAGAGCTGAGGCCCGATAATCTCACATCAAAGTCTGAGCCCTGCAGAGACTTTACGGCAAAAGGACCTCACTCCCTGACTCTGGAGAAAAGAGACGTCTTCAACAACGGGATGCACTGCTGCAGGAACATCATATTTAATAAAGTGACACTATGTTTTGATAGCTGTCATGGAGATAAATTACAGTATTTATGTCAGACTTGTAGAGGTGTAGAAGTAAAGTGTAATATAAAATTTGAAATGACTAAATGTAGGAGGTTATTCTCCATCACTGCTTTCCATTGACTGTATTATGGTTTTATAAGGCCTGTGAATGACAGCGGCCAGAGAGCAGTGAGAAGGCTCCTATATTCTGAGAGTGCAACACAATGTGTTTATGAAAAATAGGAAACTATGAACTTCTCAGAAAAATTCTAATAATGAGATAAATTATATTTTTTTAAATACAGAGGATAATGAGTCTTTAACAGAGGTGCAGAGTTACTCAGGTAGATTGACTCAGGTGTACAGGGTATGGAGGTAGAACAATGAAGTATATTCATTTTATGCAAATGAATAAATTAAATACTTAACCTTAACTTTTGAAGAATCATTTTTACAGTCTTGCAGTTGTGCTTTAATATAGAAACACTGCACATGGGACGGATTGCACCGCAGGTACAACCCTCATCTGTCCCTGTTATTGATATTGCATTTAGCTGTAAGCGATGGTTACAGCGTGAAAGCCATAACCTGATTAATCAATTAGCGTCATGTGCATTTTACAATTGAAACCGAGCTGCAGCCATTGGGACAGAGCCGCTGTCACTCGAGAAAACCTCCACTCAATGCTTTAATTGTATTTGCAGCTCGTCGGGACGGCCCGCCCCCGGAGAGTCCCCATTGGCTGCTTTCAAGAGTGCTTAAACCTCCCGCTCTGTGATTGGCTAAGGGAGCTTTCTGTTTGGGTCGCCTGCCAGCGGCCGTGGGGAAGGGGCGGGGCCGCGTGTGGCTTCCGCTTCTGGGCTGGATTGACACACAATGAGGAGCCGAGGCTGGAGAGACGCGCTGCGAACATCGCTGTAAATAAATACTACAATCACTGAGGCCGGAGCGACATGGAGAACCAGGTACTGTGGCTTTTCTGTCTCCCGGGGGAATGGGAACTTTCCCCGGAGGGAACGGCAGCAGGCAGCCCGGCGGCAGGGCAGGAATCAAACCTCTGTTCTGGTCGCCAGCAGAGAAAAAAAAAAAAAAAAAAACCCCGCTGCTAATGAACTCGTAGTTGTTTGGCTCTGGAGCTATGCTAGCTTGGCCACTCATACATCGGTATTTACCGCTAGCTGTAGCCTCGGTGCACCACTCCGCTCAGCACCATAGCTGTAGCCACACAAAGAGACCCACACCTTGTGTTCGATCCCCTGTGTTGTGTTTTTAACAACGAGCGGGTGCTCCCGGTTTCACACTACAAGCAACCCGAGGCGAGCTTCTTGTGCAGCTAAGCTAATGTGGCTAGCTAGTCTACCTTCCAGGAGAGTGTCGGCCGTTGGCTAAAGGCTAAGGAGCCGCTACAAGGCGCCGGGGAAAAGATTTGTCCTCCCCAGGTCGGCTGGAGAGGCGGGGTGGTGTCTCCACTGCCAGGGGCCTGAAACCTCAACACATACGAGGCTCATTCAAACAGCAGCCACCCTGTACACCTCTGGAATTATTACTATTATTATTATTAGCAAACCTTTGGTTAATATGGAATTCTTGCGCACCACATTTCTGATTGTAAAGTAACATGCATGTAGCATGGTGGCACAAGCTTGTGTGTGTCTGCAAACGTTGAACTTGAATCCAGTCATGATGTGCACCCATGCATGGGCTGGTCATTGTATAGGAAAGATTCCTGAAATACAAGGTGTCATTTTTAAGGACTGGCGTGTAAAACCATTGTATATGGCAAGATCGTGCCTTTACTTTTAATACTCGTGCATGTACAGATGTGCACACTAAAGATTTGTCATCATGAAAAAGCCACATAATTTATTTTTCATAAAACAGGAAGGTTGGTAAACCGAATTGCATATCTGCTAACTCCAGGGGAGACACTGCCTCAGAATGGGTTGCTCTCTAAATGCCTGAGGTTATTCAGGACTATATTTCAGATGGTTAGACCACACACACCCGTGGAAAGTGGCTCAGCCACTTTTTTGAAACTAGTCTCCATTCAGCTTTGGTCCCTTTTGAAGTTTTAACCAGTTCTGTTGATGTGATTCCAGTGGAACTTGTCTACTTCAAGTGAAAACCAGGTTGTTAGGTGGTCAGGTCGTTACCTATGTTGCCTGTAAAATATTTAAATTAGTTTATTGGTACATGTGGTTAAACAATGCAGTCTAATACACTGTAACTTACATCCATAACTGTTATGATGTTTACTATCCTGTTAAACTGTAATGAGAGTCTATAAATCAGCCACATGGTTTATGACATTAAATCGAATAGCT